GTTTAAAACTGACTGCTAAGAAGGTTTTTTTTTTTTTTTTTGCTATAATTAACAAAATAGCAGTTAGAAATGGATAAAAACAATTGGTCTATCAGCAATATTTGAATAATTCAACCAAAAATACTTTGATTCACGAGTTTCTGCCTGTTTTATTTGTTTTTTTGTCATTTGTGTTTATTGTGAAATTGGTCTTAAATTTGATTTCACTTAGCATTAAAAAGTCTTAAATTTTAACTTTCCTTAAACTGTAGGAACCCTGTTTTAGAGCCCTGGTCGACATGCATTAAGGGAGATGTAGTTTCTGATCAATGCTGAGCTTATTTTAAGACATAAATTCATGTTTGAAGCTCTGGCAGGCCACATAAAAGGCTGTRGAGGGACACATTTGACCCGTGAGCCTTAGCCTGGGGTCACATTCATGGAAACAGTGGCGTTCTCAATGAATTTACAAAATATAATAACATCAGATCTACTTCTATCATCAATTCAGTTTTATGTGTTTGTTCATTAACTAATTTCTGAGTGTTTTGTTAGATATTTTGGCAATGCTAAATGCCTTCATTATTTACAATCAATTACAACTATAATCGACATGTAAAGTCTGGTGCTTGTGTTTAGCTGTTTAGCCGTTAGCTGTTTTCRTTGCGCAGGTTCTGTTCGATCCGCTGCAGCTTATGTAAGTTTGTCCTGGTTCATGAGCACCCTCAACCCGTCTCAGTGCAGCGTGTCCGCACACACGTGTGTTCATGTGTGTGATACCCGTCAGTGCTGACTCAGACGGATCGTGTCAACAGCTGCTGCCTGTTAATGAGGGAAGACAGTGGTTTGCATGGAGGGAGGAGAGGAGGGGTGAGTGGGTCAGATTAAAATAGAAAAGTACAGATAAGCCTTTTTTTTTTCCATTTTCCGCCGTCCGACACATAACGATGTGACTTCATCCTATTTCGGTCTCGACGGAAGCAGATGACAGCGGTTGTCTTTGTTGTCGAGTCTTTGTTGGCGCCTAGCTTGTATCTGAGGCACCAAAACAACAGAAACTTTGATTCTATTTATAAAAAGCAACCACTTTAAATCTTTTAGTGGTTGACCTGACAGTTCTGTTTTTTTTTTTTTTCTGTTTTCAGGCTCAAATCTCCTTCCTGCAGGGAGAAAGGAAAGGCCAGGAGAACCTAAAGAAGGACCTCGTCAGGAGGATTAAAATGCTGGAGTACGCGCTGAARCAAGAGAGGTGAGTAATCTACCTGCCCCGCTCATAATTCAGCCCACACAAGTGCTTCAGCAAGTCCTCAACTTATTTAAAATYAGCTGCTGTCTTGAAACATAACAAAGGGATTCTACGTCTGTGTGATTTTTCTCTTGAACCCTTCAGCTCTCCGTGTGTCGTCCTGTTTAAAACCAGTGTCAGAACATATTACCCACTGTATACCCAGCCCTACTGGACWTACAGTGTGTTCCTGGTTTAAGTGTGACTTAATGGTATCTGTATGTTGTGGTTGCCTGGGCAGCCACACAGGATGCACTTACTTCCTGATGATGGAAGCCTGATTGCATCATCACCTTGGGCAACGACCTGACGTTAAGGTGAAGAAATGTGACAATTAAAACCTGAAGCTGGGAGCGAACCCAACAGCTTCAGGTGTTTTCAGTTGGATCTGGAGACAGAAAACTGAGTCAAGTCTCAAAATGTCGTCCTGCTTCGTCACCCCCCCACCACACACACACACACACACACGCACACACACGTCAGCTCAAAGATCAGGTTAATATTTGCCTTTGTTCTGAGAAGGACATCATTAGGGGTTTGTGAGGTGTAGAGACGTCCTCAGACTGTGTTATTTGTCGTTTTTTTGTACTCAACGCTCGATGCTTAACCCAGAATTACTTGCATTTTTTTTCCTGGTTTCTAAGCAACGTGTTACGTCTCAGAAGGTATCTGAAAGCAATAAAAACATCTCTCTGGACGTGGGATGTACCCAGATTTGGAATAAATTAGATTTTCACGGGGGTTGCTTGCTCTGCGTCATCAGAGTGTTGTTCTGTTGGCAGCTTTTTAAACTATTTTATTTGTTTTTTTTTCTGTCCTCTACTATATGTGTGAAGTTATGAAAGCCACTTTAACACCAGCTTTGATTCCTCTCTGTCAATTTCAATAATAATTTTCTTTAAAGACACTTTTTCTCCTTTTAAATAATTCACTTTTATTCATGATCTTTCAACTTCTGGTTTTTACAATCAATTTTTTCGAATGTATTTTTTTTTGCATATTACTATTCTTGTACTTCTAATTGTTTTTTCTACACTTTAATGAACCTATGTTGTTTTAAATGAGCTCCATAAATAAGCTGAGTGATTATTGTAGTTATTTTCATTATGAATCAATATTTTATACAGAATGAAACAGAAAAACATTTTTTTGTTTTTTTCTAAAAGTAGTTTTCTTGCTTCACATGTGATATTTTTTGTTTGGGATTCTTGTTTTATGTTTATAGAGCAGGGCTATTCAACATGGCGGCCTGTGGGCCACATCCGGCCCACAAGTGACCAAAGTTTGGCCCGCCAATTGGTTCATTCATCTTTTAAGTCCAAACCCCTGGTTTTCTACTTTAATTACTATAAGTTCTTTTAGTTAAACACAGACATGTTTGGTATCTACAGAAACATCAGAAATTTGGCTAGAAGCTGGTAAAAACCATTTCCATAAACACTCAAGACAGTTAAAACTACAAGTAGTTGAAAATAAAATGATGAAAGTGAAAATAAAATTGGTTTAAAAATTTGGCAAGTCAGAGATGTCAAAATATTATTTGTGGTAAATAAGAGGCACAATGTCTTGTTTTTGTTGTTGTTTTATTATCACTACTTTTATTACAAAGGGTTCTGTAAGTTGTCTTCATGATTAAATGCAGCAAAATAAACAATTTCAAAGGTAACAGATCTTTGTAATACTTGGTTTATTTRCATAATGACTTTAGTTGCTGGATGTTTGGCCCCTCAGCTAATGGCCTGCAGTAACTGTGGCCCTGATATAGACCATTTTAGTGGATAATTTACAAAGAAGCAAAACAGAGTTTCACCTGAAGGCAGAACCTTATTGACCTATTGCATATTTTACGTGACTTTTCTCATATTAATCAAAATAAATCAGATGTTTGAATGTTTTAACCCTGTTTGCTTGTCGTTCTGTTTGCCTTTCAGAGCAAAGTACCACAAGTTAAAATACGGGACGGAGTTGAACCAAGGCGACATGAAGCCTCCGAGCTACGACTCTGGTAAGTCGACGGAGGCCGGATCAGCTAACTTTTTACCTCCTCGCACTAAATCTCTGTAAATTCTTCTCTCGCATTCTTCAGTTGACAAGACTTGTGGCACATGTAACGGCAGCGTTCGTGTCAAAGCTTGTTCGTTTCTCGCTTTGCTTCACGCCGTCCTCCAACTGTGTTGCGAAAAAGAAGTTGTTGGAAAACCCCCACAAAAGAATCGAGAGTTAGTAATCATAATCTGGTCACTTAACGGAAAAGAMCGGTATTAAATAGTCTTAAAGCTTGATTATGAATTACACAAGCTTTTTTGTATTTTTGTGACAATGTGGAGAAATTTTTTTCTCCAAAAATCAAAAAACAAGTCTGTATTCTTGTACATAATCTAAAAATCCTAATGTTAAAATGATTCACTTTAACTGGTTTTGTTAACTTTAATCTGTGCTGCCGCCTTAAGTTGGCCAATGGAGCAGTTTGWCCTAAAAGTGTTGCCGTAGCTGCTGCATTATGTTTTTTATTTTTTTGTTTTGAAGAATCTACAACAAATCTGGAAGTAATAGTTGAAGTTATAGTAAAATGACTGTCTTTAATAATGACTTTAATTTGCGTATAAATTTCCACGATGCTAACTGAGTTAGCTTTTCTATGGTGTTTCCTATKTTAAGTTAGCATCTAWGCTAATTGTTGATGAGCAGCCTTTAATTTTTACGATTTTCTTGGCATATAGTGCAGTTTATTTGCTTGAAAACAGCTTATTTTACATAAACGATATATATATAAATATATAATATGTACACACATTTARGCTTTTCTATTTGTTAAATTTTATTATGCAGTTATGCAGTTTCRGTGTTTTAGATAAATAAGTTAAGCTGCATCCCAGTGTTAATTCACACAGGTACCTCATTGTATCATAATTTAATCAGGTCTCTAAAATGTCCTGCTCTTAACCACAGTTGTGTTTATCTCTCACTGCGTTACCAGCACGTTCGTGTTTCTTTTAAATATTGTGGAATATTCAAGTTGCAATAATTTAGTCGTGTACTGTAGGAATATTTTCTCTCTCCACTTCCTCATTTTTATTCATGACAGCTGTTGAAAGCACAGAACCCTTGAAGTGTTGATGACTTAAGGGAAGGTGAAGGAGAGAGGTGTTAGATGAAAGAGGTGGAGGAAGGTGTGTGGGGGGGGGGGTGAGAACTGGAAGATGTCTCTGGTGTGATGGCTCACCTGCCTGCCCATCACTCTTCTAAATTAGATACGACCCACGTTTGAGGCCGTTCTGACAGCTCTCACACACTCCCCCACTGCCGCCAAGTCTCTTCTCACTTCCCAGCTCTGCGACGTTCTTAAATATCAGATTCCATTATTGTAAAAGACGGTTCTGGATGCACATCGCCGCTCTTTCCAGTGTCTTGTGGATCACAGGTGCAGCAGGCGTCGGCCGTTTGAAGGTGTCAGAGTACATCATTTGATATTCAATTCAAATTCAAAAATACTTTATTGATCCCAGAGGGAAATTTGGTAATTTGATATCAAATGTCTTGTTGTGGCGTCGTGTTCCTGCTCAGTTTATGACTGAATCTGTTAAAGGATTTAACTACAGTTTATGTTTTCAGATAGTAAAAACCATCCAAGGATGAGGGATAACAGTTCCTGCAAATAATGTGGTATGAACGCTAAGAGCTGAACGACTTTGCTGAAGAAGCTGAAACTAAGTTGTTATAGTTACTATAACAACTTAGTTACTTACTAGTAACTGCTACAAGGAGACTAACACTATCTAAAAGAACCAAAACACTAGCTACAAGGAGTAAAACACTGCATGGAGCAAAACACTAGCTAAAATGATCAGAGCACTAGCTAAAATGATCAGAGCACTAGCTAAAATGATCAGAGCACTAGCTAAAATGATCGGAGCACTAACTATAAGGAGCAAATCACTAGCTAAAATGAGCCGAATACTAGTTACAAGGAACAAAACACTGCATGGAGCAAAACACTAGCTAAAATGATCAGAGCACTAGCTAAAATGATCAGAGCACTAGCTAAAATGATCAGAGCACTAGCTAAAATGAGCGGAGCACTAACTATAAGGAGCAAATCACTAGCTAAAATGAGCCGAATACTAGTTACAAGGAACAAAACACTGCATGGAGCAAAACACTAGCTAAAATGATCAGAGCAC